TACAATTCTAGAACCCAGGTGAGTCTGTTTCAATTTCCGTTGTTAATTCTAATACTAATGAGTGCATTCTAGATAATACAGAGTGTACATTCAATACACCATCGGACAGATGTAGGATGAACTTAAGAAGAAGACAAACAATCGATTACAAACACTTACACTTCAATTCGAGCTGTGGCGGATGTGATGTTTAAATAAATCAATGACTTCTTAGTATTAATGACTGTTGTAATTTTGAATTCCAAATACAATACATTCGTTCGGGCTCATCTGATACTTCTTGATTAAATTGCGTTATTCCTGGGATTACTAGTTCATACTACAATTCAAATACTTCTAATTATCATATACGGTCATTAAGTTATTGTAAGTCAGGCTAAGAAAGACGTAAACTGGTGTATCTGTTGTGTACGGTTATATAGATTAATATTATTATAAACAGGACGTTCGTGTGTTCGAGGAATAGCTTAGAAAATTTGCACACTGAAAGTGGGATCGCAGAACTATCGACTGACATGTCACTTACCAGTCATTTTTTAGCCTTGAGATAATTTCCCTTCTGAACGTTATGATAGTTTTCAGGATTGTTCCATGGTTCGTATGAATCATGTATTGTTTAGGTTGTGATAACCTTCCGCTAGGTAGGACAATCAGTTTAATCTTCCTTCTATCATTCTAAAATTTCTCAAACAAAATTAGATTACTGACCCCTCAAAGTGCAGTTCGTTACCATGTCTTCAAAATCTTGAGCTTTCTGTGAGATGATTACTATTTGGCAATCAGCAACATGTGTTTTTACCTTTGTACTGAGGAAAGGTTAATTTGTAGATTGTTGTCGATGGTGCAACAGTATATAAGGAAGGCTCTAATATGTTTATGAAGACACTCTGTTTCATATAATACCCTGCAGTAAAAAGAGGCACGCCTTTTTTGTTGACAAATATGCCATTCTGTCCCATGTTAGTTGCGTTATTATGAGTAGCGGACTGCACATACTTCTCATAACCTGTCTCGTGAGGAGGATCATGATTGTGAAGAAGCTATACAAAAAACGTGTAGTGATAAATAATTTCGTGGGATAAACAGTTTTCTACGTTCTTGACATCGATGATGACCCCGTTAGGTTCATTGGATTCACCCTATTAGGTAAGCTTGGTACTCAGGTACTCAGCGATAAACAAGCACATTGAAATCAATCCAACTTATCAACCAATCAAGAAAATTATCGAAAAACGTAGGAACAAAATTCGAACCAATAGGAGATACAACAAAAACAAAGTAGTAAACAATGACGGATATAAGGTCAAGAAGAACCAATCATCATCGATGTGTACGGAATAAGCTGTGAACCACATGTGGGGAAATTCGAACACTTCACTTCTACCCAAAGTTTGTGCTGATGATGTCGTTCAGAAGGAACATGAAAGCTCCATGACCAAACCATCCAGCTCAGAGAACAAAAGTACTTCAAATTCACCCGCCAAGATTTTATAAATATGTTCTTCCTATTTAATGTCTGTGACCTAGCGTCTCTAAACTCTTTGAACATCAAAATGGTTAATAAATTATTAAAACCATTACACCAGAAATCGGTTGAGTATAGACTCAAGGACGTATTTGAGTTTATGTATACAAGAAAAACATAAATATAAGTGACAAAAACCACGTTATCACTAGACGTAACATCATTGTTCACTAACATCCCATTGACTAAACCATAGATTACATATGTGAACAATTGCTAGGAACAAAATAGAGATACCGATCCTGATAAAAAAAATGAAGGAGCGTCCGTAGAAATCCACCACTGGCTGGTATACCCATTTCCAAAGCTTCACACCTCTTCAATACAAAATAAATTTGGTTAAATGTTTCAGCCATAGAATCAAACTGTTGTGTCCTGAAGGTGGTGTATATGGCGGAACAGATACACTGAAGAACACACTACGAAATAACGGCTATATAGATAACTTCGTCAGAAGATTCTTAGTAGATGGTATTAAAAGAAGAAACTGTGACTTAGACAACGAGAAATTTTGTATCTGTGACTGGATTTTGAAGGGGATATAGCAGGTGACATATAAACATGTCGACTCAAGATGTCTGTTGAAATCATCTAGGTCAATTTCTGAAGACCGAACTTATTTATCTAGAGGAGGTATATCTAGCCTCTGTGTTCACATTGGCCCACGATTGGATCATCTGATACCTAAACTGGATATTATAAACTTACAACCCACCTCCAAATTCCTTGTGTTTATATCTTTCTTAATCTGCCCGCAAATGCCCTGGTACGGCCGAGAGTGGGGAGAGTCAGCTCTCCCTCTCAAAATGCTATCACATGGCCAGCGAATATATAGCCTCTGCCAGGGAAGTCCTACTCACTGCCTTCTCGTGGCATTAGTGTTGTTTACGAAATTGAGAGGACGGAAAGCGAATGTCCGGCGCTTTAACCGGGTTGGTGGACAAGGCGAGTCCACCTAGGGGTGTAGGAAAACCCTGATTCCAAACCAATGGTGCACATGGGCTCCAGTAACCTGAGGGAACAAATGGCGTACGAATCAATCATTGATCACCGGCTACCATGGGACTGCATCTCCTCACGATGCTCCACTGCCTTGTGGATCAGATCTTTTGGTCAAAGGCTTGGGGTGTGGGCCCCTAAGAAAACCACCTGCTTCAGTTTGGGCAATTGGGCAGTATCACAGCCCTCAAGCAAATCGAATGAGATTTATGTGGCGCATATGTATCTGGTGCTTCCTTGTACCAATATTTATGTGTTTAAATAAATAAATAATAAATAATCTGCACATTCATCTTTCCCAATTTATTTGAATTCTTTTTATCGCAATTACCTTGATGAAATTCCTGTCATTACTTATTATATTCACACAATGATATTATTATAATATGACCTTATTCCTGTGCTAAAGCAATGAGATATCCATCAGTACTAGCAGCTTTCAACCAACTTCAAGTCCTTATACACCTTCTGTATAGTAACTTCTAGCTTTATCCTGTCAGTTCAGTTCAGAACACAAACATCAAAATCCGCCTGGTTTTTAAACAAACATTCAAAAAATGACTTTTTATGACATCATTTTGCTTGTAATTTTTGAAGATAAGTTGAAAAAATTAAATTTATCTTTAGGTAAATCTAAGATAACATCACCAGTTACAAATCTTCAGTTCAAATACACAATCTGTTATTCAGAATGGTATGGAAAATATTTTGATTGTTTTCTTGAAACATCTCATAACTCAAGTTGTTAAGTAAGTACAAATTAGGTGCATATTGAACGTGCACAAACCAAAATATCAGACAACAACAAATTAAGTGTTTTCTAATAACATTTAAACTGAGATATTTATCGAAAAAGTTTTGATGATAGTGCTCAATTTTTTCTAATTTCATTTCAGCCGGTTCCTTCCTAGGTACATTTAAGTGTAATATGATAAGGTGAAATCCCTTTGTTTATTTATGAAGAAAATGAAAGAAAATGGCATACAATAGTACAATTCTTTGAATTATATTTCAAAAGAAATTTAGCTAGTGTATTTGATTTTCATATCCAAAAGCATTAGTTAATAAAAGTTTTGGGAATACGCTCATGGTTGATGAAATATGAATGAAAGTTATTAAACAAAGGTGAAATGTTTAGATTCTGATGTTTTTCCGCTTTTTTTTCTCTGTGATCAAATGATTAAGAAAAGTATATGATTTACTCTTTCAATACAGTTAAATTATTTAAAACAAATAATCCATTTTCGTAAATAGGGATTGTCACTATTTCTTTGGCTATCGCTTATTTTGTTGCTTTTTTTTAATTGACTAGAAAATTCATTTAAACAAAATTCAGAATTGTTGAATGTTTATTTTATTTGGTTGCATCATTTGACGAATAATATGTATTTTGAGCTGATAATTTAGTAAGAAAATATTGTTTAACTGGTAATATCCATCCTTTGACTTGTATCTTTGAAAGTTTTACATGGTATATAATAGTAATCACTGTTAGTACGGTGTATAGGTAGACTATCCAGTTCAATTGTTTTGTTAAAAGATGAACTGTTCGAAAAGAAACGAAGAGTGATTTGAAAATAAAAGTAAAATGAAAAATATTTTCAAGTTAAGATTTCTAAAATATTGAAAATGAATTAAACGTGATTTTATAATTAAGGCAATAAAAACACGTAATTTAAGTAGTATTCGAACCTTAAGTTCGAGGGTTGGAAACTGTGAGTTTAATTGCTAAGCCAATATTATAACTTGCAGTTTGAGGTTGTGTAGATTGTTGAATCTCATTGAAATCATGAACCGATCAATGTTAGACCACCATTGAAAACTTGGAAGTACTAAACGGTCGTTTCGTCCTAGTATAGGGTTCCTCAGAAGTGCATATTCACGATCCTGCATACTAGGACCAAACAAAGGACGCTAATTCTCGTGCGAACGCTTGATCTCTATACCACTGAGCCGGTGTCCAACGATGTTAATGTCTAACTTAACCAAACCAAGATATTGAGAGACTATTTCTCACTGTCTTTGGTCGATAGCCGCCTCTCATCCGACGTGGTTGGACCTCACTCCAAACTGAAAATTATCATGTACCCACTGATGACTAGCTTCGGAAGGTAATTCTTGGAGTTCTGGTGAGAAGCCGTGAGTAGTAGGGTTCAACCGCGTTGAGTGAGAGGCGGCTATCTACAGAAGACAGTGAGAAATAGTCTCTCAATATCGTGGTTTGGTTAAAGTTAGATGTTTAACATTGTTGGATACTGGCTCAGTGGTATAGAGATCAAGCGTTCGCACGAGAATTAGCGTCCTTTGTTTGGTCCTAGTATGCAGGATCGTGAATATGCACTTCTGAGGAACCCTATACTAGGACGAAACGACCGTTCAGTACTTTCAAGTTTTCAATGGTGGTCTAACATTGATCGATTCAACAATTTACACAACTTTCATGCAGTTAGTTCCCTTTATGAATTTAAATAAAGATAGAACAAATATTGATGCAGAATAATATGAATTCATTATATTTCGTGGTTTCTCATCAGCTGCTTACAACCAAATATGCATTAGAGTAATAAATAATGCGGAACAATTGACATAATTGAATGTAAAGGATTGGAATAACGATAATATTTGTACACAATTTCTCTCTATACACAAGCAGCATTTTAAAAATATTAAATTATCTATATTTAATCGTCAAAACCTATTCAATATTTATAGGTAGTAACGCCAAAAATATGCTTATTTACTATTCAATATTTTATGATTGAAATCATGAGTCAATTGAAGCTAGACAACCATGGAAAAGTTGGAAGCACTGGACGGCTATTTCATCCTAGTATGTGGCTCCTCAACAGTGTGCATCCAATTTATTTGTTAGTGTATCATTTTAGCTCTCTGACTACAAAATATAATATAAAACTAGATTAACTAGATACAAACATTTTCTAGTTTGTTTGTTTTTATTTCGTTCAACAGTGGAAAAGGCTCATTCTTATTTCAGTATTTTCCAAATAAAATAAAACAAGTTTTTTGCTTAGACAAATTGTCAGTTGTGTTACAAGTCACGTAAAAACTAAGAAATATCAAGTATTAAGTTCATTTTAATTGATTCTTTATTTAACTGGTAGCAAATCATATTAGGAACTAGTATTGAGTTTAAGAAAAGACTAGTAGATTAGAATCATTCGTTTCCAGAATCAGTTAAGGGATTTTTCAAACCGAGCAAAAAACAGAAAAATTCGTAGAATAAAATTTTTTTTTCAAGATTTTTATCAGTAGAAAACAAGCTGTTTTCAAAAAATCAACAAGATGATAGATAAAAGAATAAAAAAAGTAGTCGGTTAAGTTAAGACTGAAGTTAAATACAAGACAGTATTAAATAATCTAATTATTTTACCGATCTACTGATTTTCATCCACCAAGTTTGTTTCATCCTACTTATAGAGATTGATAATTCCGTACTTTTTCTATTATTAGTATGATCATTTGTGATTGTGTTTCCCTTACTTTTTAAGATAGAATTTTCCTAATCAAAATACATATCGATCTAAACCACGATGTATCAGGTAAGTTGAGATGGTTAAGGAAATTTTTAGCTCAGGCGGTTGATTTTGGTTAAGTTTCATTCTCTTAGCAGGATGATTTAGTTATGAAAGCAAAAGTTGAAGATCAAGTTAGACAGGACTAGCTGTCAGTTTGTGCTGATGATATTGTTTAGAAGGACAGTGAAAGCTTCATGATTTATGAAAATGTTAAGTATTTCTTAGTTGTTTTTCATATGATAAAAAGCACAGGAAATACATTCTAAATAAACCAGCCACTTAACTAATTATATGCTTCGTTTGAGTGTACTAAATACAAATACAGTGTCAGAAAATATTATTAACTTGAAAAGCAGAAAAATAATGTTGCCTGAGTTGATGTTGATCAGAAACAAAAGACATCCATAAATCAAAACAATTTACATAAAAATGACATTGGTTTTACCATTGAGTGCTACTTGGAGACTCAGTTCAAGAAAAATTTCAACGCTCTAGTTAAGATTTGTTACTGATGGAGTTTAACCATGTTGGGATCGAGACAGTCACTATCAACCGATTGTCGAGAGGTAGAGTAAGTTGATTCGAGTTAAGAATTTTAGCTTTAAGAAAACAAACTGTTGGTCTGAAGACCACGAGGTTTCACAAGACATTATTTTCTTTGGGTTAAATTTATGGTTAGCCTTTATTGTGTATAACTGAGAAATCTGTAACTGGGATAAAATATAGATGCATTGATTGATATTTTTGAATGGTAACACAAATGGTTTAAGTCTTAGTTGAAAACCATTTACAAAAAACAAAAACATTAAATAAGAAAGATTGATCAACTATCAATCTTGTATACCTGTGTCACCATTAGTCGAGAACGGGACTTGATTGCATAATTCGCTAAGCGAATACGAAGAATTTATAGTCCCGAAGTCATGAACAACGAACTGAGCATCCTTAAGAAAATATTCATCGAAAACGGGTATTCTTCCATATTTACCAACAGGAATTTAAAACCCAAACCCCTTCAAGGACAATTAACCTCAGTTGAAAAGAAAATACTTTACATGAACATCGACTTCAAAGGTGATGGAGTTACAGGCGTTCTTAAAAGAAGAACTTACGATTCTCTAAAAAGAACGTTCTTCTGAGCAACTTTACGAACAATGTTCTCCAGCCGATCAATGATCGTCAATAATCTTAGGGACAAATTATCTCATTTAACCAACTGGATATGCGTTTATCAATCTATCTGTTCATGTGGAGCCAAGTACTTGGGCCGTTCGATGCGTACTTTTTCCAAAAGAATCCATAAACATTACCCAGTTTGGTTAAAAAGAGACAGAAACGGCTCAATAAGAAGCTCAATAATCTAACACCTTGTGAATACAGGTCACTCAACCAAAGGACACTGCGTTCAAAGTCATCTCCAAGGTAAGTAGAAGGCTTAGAAAGGCAGTTATATTGCATCTTTTGAACATTGCCGAAGCAAAGGCTATACACCTAGAAAACCCAGAATGACATGTTCAAAAAGAGATTGGTACAACCTCTTCTTCTATCTTGGTCTTAATCTCTCATAATTTTCTTTCTTATTCCCTTATGACCATCTGCTTCCACTTCTATCTTCTCTGTGGACCTTTTATTTATGTTTCTATCCTCCTCCTGATTCCATTTCATCTCAATTACAACATTTTGTCTTATCGTGTTGAGTCATTCTTTCCTAATTATAACTTCCCTATCTATCTTCCTGACGAATATTCAAGCACCCAACAACGAAACTATTATTAGTTTCCCTGATAAAAAGAAATAACATTTTAATACCTTTGTTTATTCTACTTCACTGTTATCATGTCTAGCAGGATTGTGTTATCACTATTATTTTAATTATTAACATGAAAAATAAGTTCATATTTGCGATTTTACAGCTTGGAAAGTGCGTTCACTAAATAGAGAACTCATTGCTATGCCAATCTTTCTTATTCGATGTTTCAAAGGGTATATTCCATCTACTTAAAAACATTAAAATCAAATTCGTATGATTACCTGACACAAAAGTCACTGAATAAGCAGACGATAACAATTGCGATACATGGATTCCATTCATTTTTATCATCGAAAGAGAATAAAGCATACCGGAAGCTATAACTAAAAAAATAGAAAAATAAGACAAGGAAATGTAAGTTAAGGGAGGAAGGAAACTTGCCATTGAGAAGATAAAGCCGACTTATTTGCATGAAAAGATTTCATAGTCTCGAAAAAATCGGTTTTTGTAAAAATCATTGACGAATCGATCATAATGTGTACAATGTTTATCAACATTTCAAAACCTTAGAAAAAGGCTATTGGATGCTAAAAAGTTTGTATTGAGCTAGATGAAATCAAACATCCAGTGCATTTTACATTTTCTCAATAAGCCCATTTTTTCAGGCTAAGATTCAGTCTATGTTCAATCGAATTTGATTAAGTATCAATACAAAGCAATCTGTAAAGGTAACGGGATATGTTTATTTTACATCAAGTTAAAATGTACACATATAGCTTTAGAAGATGAACAGAGTGTGGAAATATTTCTTTTCAATTAATATCTGTATTACAATAAATAATATAATAAGTTCCATTCTTGTTGAATTCTGTGTAAGGGTACTACAAAATTACATGTCTTGATGGAAACAGTAATGAATGATTCACAAAGTAATGAAAAGGTTACGGAAACATTCAAATGTAATATTCATTAGATGAATTAAAAAATAGTTACAAATTGTAAAACTATCATATAACTAATAACGTTTATCGACCATGAATGATCTAATGCAATCATGAGTATCAAAAAAGGGAAATTACAAACCCTTACAAATTGTCATATACGATGAACAAACCAGTGAGTAGTTTGGCTCACCAGTTTAGTAGATAATGTGTTAGGAACTGAAGCAGCAAGTACTCAGTTTATGTCGCGTTATGAGAATTAAGAGTGAGTTCGAGTTGATTCTACCTAATGAGACGTGCGTCCTGCAGTTCACTACTAGACAATATCAAAAAATACTAAAATCACTAAGTGGTTTTAGAAGTTGGATATTAATAGTAATCACGAAAGATGGAGGTTAAAATAAACATCCAGAGATAAAATGACTGTTGAGGAATAAGGTGTACTTTTTCGTTTCAGTAAACATTCCCTAAATAGTCTTTTTTACACATTTTGTTACTATTGCACCGAGTGCGTTGTTTCTGAATGCCAGTCTCAAAAACGATAACCACTTCGAAACCTTTATTATCTTTGATCCCTGGTACAATACATTCAAACCATATTAAAGCTAGTATTGAAATATTTTAGAAACCTGACTTGTGTTTGCTGGGAAGCATGGCTCAGGAAAACAGATTTAATTGACCACTAGGAATCTATAACCAGCATAGGTAGATTATGCGGCTTTTATAGATTTTGCTTGCATCGATATTTATCCAGATTTGATCTAAGTTTAATTGAACATAATTTGCATTGATTACCTGGGTGACTTACCATATAGATCCAGTTTAATAAATGCCTTAAAGTCAAAAATATACATGAGAAAACAATGATTATGGAATCAGATACTTAACTTCCTATTGGACAAAGTGTCAATTGAAACAAAATATTTTTTGAGTTGGTTTGTATTCTAAATGTCCCAACAGGAGTGCATAGTCGTAATTGATCCGCAAACATTCTATTTCTACTTATTGAGTCGCGAGATCTATTTATCTGCATAATGTCATGATGAAGAACTATTTGGAAAGAAATACTTCTTTATAAATTATTGCTTCATAAGCTGAATGATAAGACGTTTCAATATGCCTGAAATATAATCTGTTCCAAAAAATGTTTTCACTAGGTTGAGTATCGCTGAAGTGCATTGTAAGACTCACAACTGCGATTCTACAAAGTGTAATTTCCACTTGTTTAAAGTCCATGACTAATGCCATTAAGAAGGAAATTGTCAAAAAACACGTATGTGAAAAGAAAACATGAATTATGATTATAACTAAAATCTTCTAATCTGGGAGATAAAACATCTTTTGACTAATTCGTACAGAGAATTTTTAATGTAGTCATAATTTAAATAAGTCAACAGTTAATGTTTGATAAGCAACACTAATTGCCACACTACAAAAATAAAAGAAAACCAGCTAGTTGTAATATAACTTACCTAAATGTAAGCATCCAAGATGCTTGGAAATGTAATGTATATTAAATGATCTTGGAATACTACAAGATTCAGTTGATATTGGATTATCATAGTTATCTGAGATTGGAAATAATCTTTGAAGGAACCAATCACTATGAGGTATCGGAAATCCTACAAGCTACGAAATTTGGGAAAAATTTCATAAAATTATGAATTAGTTTTTTAGAATTTAGTGTACAATTATATAACATCATGATTCAATATATGAAAATTCTATGTCATTTCATATACTTACTTGTTTAAGAATGTTCATTACATAAATAGTAAAATGTTGAAAGTAATTTTCCATCAGCCCTCATCCACTGGAAAATTATGTGAAACCAAAGAGAGCTAAAAGATTATTTCATACTAGTTCTGGAGTATTTGAAATAGTTAAACCATGTTTTCTAAACGAAACTTTACGTCTTGAGAACAGTACGATATCAGTTATTGACTGACTTCATGTTGAATTGTTAACAAGTATAAATTCAGTTGATTTCTTATAGGATGATACAATAAATGAATTACTACTTTACTCGATAATTGGTTGATTCCAGAGTTTCTGGGTTCCCCTTATCATTAATATAAGTAGACTAAGCTAAATCCACTAGATCGGGCCGTGATTTATCGATGGTCGGATTTTAGTGGCCCTATAACTGACTTCAGTGAGACTAGACGAATGATTGTTATTGAATGATTGCTGTCGAAATATAAATCCAGGCTACCCTCGTATATAACCATCAACTTAAATCACGTTAGTGAATAGCGGAATTGAATAATTCAAGTACGAAAATGGATTTTTGAATATGTATATTTCCTACAATCGTTGATCGGAAAGCGAAGCAAAACAAAGTGACGCGCAATGGAGAAGGTGAGTGAGCCAACTCAATTTAATTAAGCGTGAATGATATTCATAGTCGAACACACATAATGAGTAGGCTAGATAAATAGCACATATACGAACATATAAAAAAACAGTCGTGATTAATAAGCGAATAATTGACAGGGTAAGAATGTGGCTTGAGAAGAATGAATAGATTGGTCTGTCCAGTAGCTAGAATAACCTATGTGGGCTTGAAATAGTACCAGCCCCTACGAGATAAAGTTTAACAAACGTTTCTTTAACAATTATAATTATCATAATTATTTTCCATATCATAATTCATTTATTTTTCTTCACTATCTTTTCATATACATTCTTCAATATCGAACTAACAATTTTTGCTACGCATTTTGATAAAGTTTAATAAATGTTATTTTATTGTCAACTTTTTTCCAACTATTGGCCTGCTTCCAATCTTAAAGATTGATTCAAACTTTAAGTAAATCCAGCGTTTCACTTGGGAATCTGGTCAAAAGAGATCCCTTCGCTGAACTTCGTGTTTTAATCTGGTCAAAGATTTTTAAAGGAAATACAATCAAATATCAGAATTATGGGATAGAAATAAGTACATGATTCTCTCAGTATTTGTACACTAAACACATAATCTGATCATGTTAACAGTGTCAATAGTAAGAATTTTCTATAGTCAGTATCAGACATTTGGTGTAAAGAAATGTGTTAAGATAACAATTGTATGTATGTGTAAATGGATCTGATGTAAGAGAAAAAATTTAATTGACTATTTCGCTTGCGATAGGTGAATTTTTTTATGAAAACAAATGACTTTAGAGATTATATGAGTCAAGTGTGTCAGTCTCGTATAAAATGAAAATAAATAAACAGAAATAAAAACACATTCATTCATTGATGTTTATGACTGAAATTAATTAGTAATTGCGCATCCTATGTGGGTTGTCTCAATATTGCCTTCAGTCACAAGCATTATAAATAGAGGTGGATGAATGCTAGCAGCGGAATCCAAGATGTATGTTCCGTCCTATTTGGAATTCGTTAGATGGATGTACCTGCATCCTAGAGATGATGTCCATTCTGAGACTTAAACCCTGTACCGCTTGCTTCGTACACCATTGGATTATACATTTAAGTGTTTGTGTTATTGTGTTGACCAAGTTAATTATTCATTGAATATTTAGATTAAACGACTTATTAGAACAGTTGAAAGTAATCGTTGTTCTTCAGATGATAAGTGATAGTTTAAGTGAAGTGAAATGTGATAAGGAATTCAGGTCTACTTATTAATCATTAGTTGTTATAGGAAAGCTAGTTGTATTCCATCTTTCCTATTGATACTGCTTTGATTCGCCTATATCTGTAGGACTTCAGCTGTTAGTCATTATTTGTAAGAACTAAATCCTTTCCGGAGGATTCTTGTGACACTGAAATCAATTGTATGACCATACTCTATTGATTGTAATGTGACTTCTGACCAGTTTTCTAGTTTTTTAAGGTTATATGACGACGGAATATGCTTCAAACAAAGTTTATGTTCCCTCAACCTCATATTCAATTGTCGTAATGCCTCACTTTCATATAATACAGAATCAAAATCACTACATTTTATCTCATATGAGCAAATTTTTGTTCCCCCTTTCGTGCTTAATCTCTGATTTTTACCAGTTTAGAGATTAAAGTACTGTTTGTTTGAAAGAATTCTCTTACATTTTGATCATTTAGGGCCCTTCGGATCTCTTTTTCGAAGTTCTTTTACGATGTTGGATTTACGATATGAGATTTCACAAATATAATTTTTCCTCCTTAATGTCTTACATTGACTTGGCGCACAACTACTGTGAAACTATTCGTTCAAGTATAGATGAAGACCTTAATAAATATTTTTAAACTGTTATTATTCTTATCACTACCGATTTAACTATCATCACACAATCAAGCAGTACTTCTACTTATTATGAGTAGTCACGCGATCTATTTTATTGTCATGATTTACTGATAAAATGTCTTGATTGATATAATATTTTCCGCATACTTATATATTATTATTTTGTTTATTAGAGTAAAATTTCATGCACTTAGCTCCTTTTATGAATTTTAATAAAGCCAGAACAAATATCGATGCAGAATAATATGAATTCATTATATATCGTGGTTTCTCGTCATCTGCTTACAACCAAATATGTATTAGAATTTTAGCATTGAGATAATAAGTAGTGTGGAACAATTGACATAAGTGAATGCAAAGGATCAGTGGTGTAATAGTTGAGTGGAGTTCAGAAACAGATAAGATAAATTGTGTAATAATTTTAGAGGTAATAAAAGATTCATGGAATTGAAAACAAATAGGATGAATTGCGTAATGATTAAATAGAATTTGGAGAGTTCACATTATTTAAAAGGAACAAGTGAGCGGAAATGTGTGAGTGAAAGAGTGGTTTAAGAATCGGGTAATGGAAGAGGAATATAATACAAAACCAAATATTAACCAACATAAAACTAATGACCAAGAAAAACAAAAAAACAACCAAAAAACACACAAAATAATTGAATTACCAGGGTAGTAATAAGTTTATTAATGTCTTTCTTTGAATACATAAATCCAATTCAAGCTTTTTTATCGCAATCGCTTCAGCAAAACGGAGAGCAGCCGTACTTCTTTGTCTACTAATAATTTTGAAAGCATGAGAAATTTCATTGGTATGCCTGGTGTCAAGTAAATGCTGAGCCCTGGTCCCTCGCAGCCTCAGTTTCTTTGGAACATGCTCAGAAATGCGAACATATACTCTTCTCTTGTTTCTTCCAATGTATGTGCTTTGGCACGTGCATGTAAATTGGTAAATGCATTCACGTATGTCAGTTGTTTCACAATATTTATTATCTCAATGTTAAAATTCTAATACATATTTGGTTGTAAGCAGATGACGAGAAACCACGAAATATAATGAATTCATATTATTCTGCATCAATATTGTTCTGGTTTTATTTATATTAGAGTAAAACTTGATGCAGTTCTAATGGAAAACAGCACTGTTTGCTTATATGAACTAATCCAATATATAAGTGTAAAGTCATGTTAATGAAATCACTTTTCTCTATCATAAGTTATTAAAAAGTAGCTTCATTATACAAGATGCATTCATAAATGCATAGATACAATTCAGAAAAATGTTCCTGTTTTAAGCGTTGTTTGTATGTTTGAATAACTAATTTTCGGATTGGATCTGTTGTCGTTACTCACTTTTTTATAATTACATATTTCATCTAGAATTTTGTCGAACTGTTGTCTAAACAAAATTACTTAGAATTTCAAAAATAGCTAAACTTCTGTCCGATAAAACTCTACTAGATATCGTTCCCAATAAATCGGTTACAGCTTCGTATTTGTTGTTCAAGTGAAAATCTGATATTACTTTCAAAGCCTTGTTACTTACTTAGTGTACTGTACTGAACTAGTAACCAAAAGATCAATGCATCGATCCATGTGTGACAGAGTCTCGCATTCAATTTTATTCATTTTAGTATATGTAACAATTATTTTTCTTTTTGAATCCCGACCCTCCTAATAAGTTATCTTCGTTTTTTCTATAAAAATAACTTTTAAAAACAAATAGCATTGAACCTGTGTTATATCCCCTGGTGAATTATGAATGGTAACTCTAAGGACTATTTATCGATCAGTGTATTATGCCTATTTCCTATTGTACAATTGTTACGTATCTAAACTATTCATATTCGTGTTTCTCTTATCATGAGCTTTATTTTGATCTTTGATTTATGATCATACGATTCTTGAGTTATAATCAGTTTATTGATTACTTTGGTTTGTATAAAAACCCAGTGTGTTTGTAAATAATGATTCATATTGCCGAGGCTGTTATTTGTGTTCTGCACTCAACTGGCTGTGCTAGGCAGATAGGAAGGGCCGATACGCACTCAAGACTGCTCGTACGATTTTGTGTATCATTGGACGTTTATGTATTAAGAGGGCATACGTTATAACAACCTGTTCATTTATCATATTCTCATTTCGCTTTATAGTTACCTTTAATTTATACAGTAATTCTTTGAACTGTATTTAGTGCTGAATTTCTAGATATATTTCTGACAGGCGACTCAATTCATATGACGTTTCCTTTATTTTTCTGTCTATGAAGTGTGTAGGAAAAAATATTTAAATTCGATATATATATATATATATATATATAATACGTACGAAAATGTTTTTCTATTTCCCGTATAGTTCCTGTGTCTGTATAATATATCATAAGCATACTTGTATAAACGGACTTTGGTAAATACATTTAGCATGGGAATTGATTTATTCATAGATGAAAGTTATTTACATGGAATATTCTCGTTGTATTTACGACTAAATAAATATAACTACTTAAGTATTTTTAGAGTTAAAATAATGCTTTTATTAGAGATTACGAAATAGACTGACTAAAATTACTTTCCAGTTATTGACTCATAGTGTTAACTGAGATTTATTCATTTTATACTAAATACAGACAGATTTTAACTACGCAACCCCTAGAAACCAGGAAGTTAATAGGCATATTGGTTCTCGATTCTATCTCGTCTAGGGTCACAAGCTAGAACGAAATATTAATTCATTGATTCCTGTTCTTTAGTAGTTGTCTAGCCAAGGTTTATTCACTAAATCCAATCTCCGTTATATTTCTCAAGTAAATATTTTATTATAGTAATAGTAATTTTTAAAAAAATGAGCATTATAGTTTACTTACTAAGATGTGACTTTAGGAGTATAAACACAAATCCTCTCTTTCTTATTCTTTTAGGTCAACCTAAGACAACATTCAGTTCCGTCAAGTAACTTTTCAAACTGAGTTTGTTCTCAATTTGAGTATACTTATATAGATTTTACATGCTTAATGTATAAACAAATCATATATGATGGTGGTTGGAGGTGGTCAACAGGAAACCCTAGACACGGGTTTCTTTCTACTTGGCACTAAGAAGTACTTGATACGCATGACATTGATAGCCACCCAGTGATCAATCAGTTGTGAAAACGAATCATATGTTTTTCAGAATAACAGTCATTTATGACTAGAAAATAAATTAACTTATTATACTAGTTAAATAAATAGTTATGAATCAACTTATAAAGAAAAGATGGATAGTAGCTAGCAGTGGGATCCAGTTTGACGCGCGTTTCGTCCTATTTGGGACTCGCCAGCTGGATGTAACTGCATCTCAGAGTTGATGTTTACTTCCGGACTCGAACCCAGTACCTTTCGCTTCAAACGTCATCGCGTTATCCACTCAGCTACTGGGTCCTGATAGCCACTTGCTTGTGCAATGGGGGGAAGTTTAAATTCACTTAGTATTATTTGTTTGTATCTTCCCATTGATGTTTAGGACTGCGACTGGTCAGTCTCTTATAAAGAGTTAAAAACACATTATTTGGGTAAGTTAAAGGATCAAGAGTATAACTAGTCAAAAGTTTACAACAAAATACATTTAATATGAATGATGATCAATAGCAGTTCCTAATAAAATAATAGAATTAATATTAAAAAAAACTCTAATTTTATAATAAATATCATCATTTCGTGTCTTAAAAACCTATTCAATGTTCAATTTTTTTCAAAGTTATCATTGTCAAACATTGATAATCATACTTACTAGTGAGAATTGTTTGTGTAAATCTTATGAACAAAAACAAACTGTTATGAAATCAAGTTTATGGAAACAATAATCATCTTATAAATAGCTCATGTACACATAATTTCGGAGGACTTCGACACTAAAAGTTAGAGTAAACTAGACTATAAACCTTAAGAAATGTCTTTTTACATCCCATAGATAATAATCAACGAGAAATTTAAATTTATTATACACCTTAGAATAGAGACTATGAAAAATTTAACTTATCCGTTTCTAAATCAAGATGATAGAAATATTCAAGTGCAACAAGAGATAGGTCTAGATGAATGACCACATGTTTAGCTCCACAGGAGCACATAGTGACCTATCTATCATCAAATAATTATTAACAGGAAATAAGTTAAATTTTTTATTATATAAGACATTTCATAAATTGATTATCTCTAGTGATTTGTAAGTATCTCGCCAACATGATTCGTGATGGCGTTTACGGTCAAAAGTAATATTTTTCTCATAGAAACTCATATGGTGTGTGAAGATTTTTTATGTTATACATGTTTAAAAATAAGAAGTAATGGTAAACCATACCTTTTAAAGCATGATTTTAAATGGGTTAATTCATTGACTAGAGTCTGGTTAAGAGTTTCGCTATATAAAGGGTTGAATAAAGCTGGAAAATATGGATCAATTTTTTTTGTGCTATGCACTCAAAAGATACTCTACCAATTTCAAATTAACAATGATTTGAGCGTTTTGTAGCTTCATAGTTTTCCACTGAATTTTTGGCGGTACATGATTTCCGGTTACCTTTGACAAACATGTCCTTATCGAAATTACCCTTTTAAATTTCAATTATCAATTACACTGTTCAGTGTTTAATACTTTTCTACTATTCTTTAGGGTAGTTTGCTGTATACAACGCTCCATAGAAATATTGTCTGACAACCATTTGTACGTTTAAATATTAGGTTCAGTGTCACATATCAATTTATGAATAGCTGAGTTTCATTAGCATTCAAAGAACAGTTTTAGGTAACTTCCGTATGTGTTATTAAAGACCAAGATGCAAAGATTTGGGAATTACTAGTTCAGATTTCATTTTCATTTTAAAATATTGACGATTACATTCCATTTTCATTAAATTTTATTATATATTTAATGAGAAGGGGTTTTGTGGATATTATAGTAATTTTGATAGTTGAGATCATGAATCAATCGAAGCTAGACCACCATGAAAAACCTGGAAGCACTGCACGACCGTTTCGTCCTATTATGGGACCCCTCAGCAGGGCGCATCCACCATCCCACCTCACGAGATTTAAACACAGGACCTTCAGTTTTGCGGACGAGCGCTCAACTTTTAGACTACTGAGCGGGAATCCAACGGTGTTAATGTTTAACTTCAACCGATCCATGAAATTGAGCGACTCATCCAACATTGTGTTCAGTGAGTTACTATCTCACAACAGACCTGGTTCAACTCCACTGATCACTGCTTCTTACTAGAACTCGAGGAAATACCTGATGGAGCCAGTCACTAGTGAGCGGGATCGTGGTAGAATCGTGGATGCGCACCGCTAAGGAGTCCCATAATAGGACGACACGGTCGTCTAGTGCTTCCAGGCTTACCATGGTGGTCTAGCTTCAATTGATTCATGATCTCAACTATCAAAATATATTATATGATTAATTTACACTACGTTAGTAAACTAAAAAGTATAGAAACGCTAATTTGCATACATGATGAAATTCATAATAACATGTGGTCTAAATATATAAGTTATTCACCTAAAATGAATTTTTGAAATTCATTAATTGGTCTTAAAATGAATAAAAATCAAGATAACACTTTTCTTTTGCTTTAAATTGTGCAAAATGCAACTATACTGATAAATTATATATATGTACTACTAATTTAACTTTAGATTACAGATCTCTAATTTGCTAAATTTGACATTTTGCGTTATTGTACAGAAATAACATTTATGCATGTAGATTAAATTTAACATTCTACCATCGGTTATGTTTTATTATATATTGTTCATTATAATCTCCCTCTCTATTTATATAGATAGTTTTCAATAACATAGTTTTAATACATTTTCATATATATATATTACGTTAAAGACGACCTACTATGGGATGTTACATTATTCATGTGTACACAAATGTTATTTAGGTAGTGAAACATATGAAATTTAATAAATCAAAAATGAACAATGTGAGATTCAGAGTATAGCCGATTGGAAAATTATCTACATTAAATCATTTGAAATCATAATAAATCTTTCGGTGTAATCCAGTGAAAACTTGAAACTAGTTCGTTAATAACTTTAGAAGATTTATTTTTCTTACTTTGTACTTATTAACCTTTTTAAAACAAATTTTGAAGAAAAATAAGATTATTAACAACTTCATTGAAGTATAAATAATCTTTTCTGAAGAAATATTTTCTTTGTAACGTTTGTAATTGATCTTAGCACTGTTAACAAAGATATATTTTCTCACTATATGTCTATTGATTGATCATCTAGTCATTGGTTAGTTAAAATTCTTTAGTATACCCCAAATGTAAAGCAAACACTTTTTCTGTGAAAATGTTGCCAATATTTTTCATCTTCAATCAGTGATGCAAATTAAAGTGTAAATTATTGAATTTACTAGTATTCATAAGTAATCACAAATTACCAATGAAACGGCTATAACTACACGCATATAATGACTTACCAGCAATCCAAAGAATAATATCAATGAAGCCATTAAATAATTCCAACAGTTTATACACGGAATATCCTGAATATCTAGTTTTGCTTCATTAGAATCACCAAGTAATTGTGTCACCTGTGAAAACATTAGATATGTATAACTGTAAACATCCATACATACAAAATAATTGTGTCATATTTAAGATTTTTAATCATAAAACTCTTCTGTATTATTTAATTTTACTACTATCAATTTCAAAGTTACCACCTTGTACATTACCGGAAACTGTACATCAGAAGAAGCGTTGAAATATATATTTAACATTTAACAACTATAAAACTATTTTTAGTCAATAAATAACAAGTTATTTCTTTAATAAACTAAGATAGAAGTACTTCCGGAGTAAAAAAAAGTGTTTGTTTGTTTGTTTTCTATTCCACACATTCAACCAAAAAATGTCTTTCATAATTTAACGTCAAAGGTTTTAACTTCAATAATAGTAACAGGAAATATTTTTTTTAACAAGTTTCCAAGTTAAAATATTTAAATTCCTTCTCCTGTTACTATATAAGTAAAAATTTATTCAGCGATCAAATGCTCAGTTGATTTTTTTAGGTATTAATGCTGAGGTTGAGCTTGATAGTTTTAAATAAATTGAGCATTGGGTAGAAAGTTAGTAATAAATATATGTATGATTTCTTCTTAGATCTCGATGAGTAGAAAATTGTATTTCTGACGTTTTATGATGTGATGTAAGTCCGTTCTTCGGAGTTTGACAATATATGTCTTTATATATATTATTTATCTGATTATTTGATCAAACTTCATATAATTGATTCTCATCACTAGTATAAATGAAATAAAATAAATAATGTTTCCTTAATACATTGAATTCATTGTATTTGATTGTTCTCTTCAAATATACATACAAGCTAATACGTTTAGATAGCTTGAAATATTAATATAATTAGAACATAAACTTTAAATTGACACATAATGGAACGATGGAACAAAGATACAATCAAACCATCATACTAACTAAGAAACAATCTATTTCTGTCATATTAAGGTTCTGAGAAGTTAAATGAATAATTTAAATAAGAAGGGGTTTTGTGGATATTATAGTAATTTTGATAGTTGAGATCATGAATCAATCGAAGCTAGACCACCATGAAAAACCTGGAAGCACTGCACGACCGTTTCGTCCTATTATGGGACCCCTCAGCAGGGCGCATCCACCACCCCACCTCACGAGATTAAAACACAGGACCTTCAGTTTTGCGGACGAGCGCTCAACTTTTAGACTACTGAGCGGGAATCCAATGGTGTTAATGTTTAACTTCAACCGATCCACGAACTTGAGCGACTCATCCAACATTGTGTTCAGTGAGTTACTATCTCACAACAGACCTGTTTGAACTCCACTCGATAATTTTTTAATCCGTATTTAATGGTGGTTTCGGATTTGAGTTTAACTTACAATGTTTTTAATGTCACTATATCATGCCTTTTGAATAAAAATTATTTATAATAATGGAGTTAACTTATTTAACTTTTAGCTTCATTTTAATCTCAAAAAAAATCGTTGTTTAAATTTTTTCATAATTTTGCCAGCCGAATAATTTATTATAACTTCCCATTGTAAAACTTAGAACAACACATGTAAGTAATAGGAGGAAATTTTGACACAATTACATTTTTCTGGCTTATATATACATATATATGATTGAAGACTAGGTCAGGAAAAATAAACAATTCATGGATTCTAAATAAAAATGATTGTAAACCACATACTTATACAAACAAATACTATGTAAAATGTAGAAACTGAAAATCCAGCTTTGTTTTATGTAAAAATAATAATACTAATAGGTGAAAAAGTGTATTTATTCATTAACTAATGTTATCCAATAGCTACATGATAAGGCGGCGGACGAGACAAAACACCATACCTTAGGTTTTGTAGATGGATGGAAAGAGCGTACTATGTTTGCCATTATCACCCGTTTCATATGAACAATTAAACTAGTTGATATATATTAAGTTGACCGTACAAGATATTCTTTACTTGACACTACCCAAATAAGCTGTTGGCTACAAAAAATCATTTGACGTTTAGTCAGTTAAGTATCCAGAACCTTCAGTATATATTGAGCTGAAAACGTCTACTCTTTCTTCCCGCATCTCTGAGCATTATTCGTATGGTTATCTAAGAGTGAATGTGCGAGGAATATTGGTCTCGTTATTTGGTAGCTTATCAATTCTTGTCACTTGATCTTACCAGAACTATCTCTTTAAAGTTTATTCAGTGCAGTATGTACAAAAACAAATTTTTACCTCTCTGAATCTGAACTGGTAATCTTTAATCCATCTTAATCTCTTGGATGGGAGGACAGTTTTTTATCTCTATATTAAGTCATTTCTCTTTCACATATTAAATTGTCACTATATGTTTATTTGATCTTGAATTTAATTTACCTGTTCTTCGTATAAAATTGCCTAGAACGGATAACTCTAAGGAAAAGTACTGTACAGATATATCAAATCCCTTAGATTAATTATGTTTCTGACTAAACCTTCGAACTTTTTATAGAAGACTACTAATTCAAAAAGTAGTACCTATAACAAACAGGTTGATAGAAAGTTCTATAGGTTTATTGGCATGAATAATAATAAAATAAATTATATACATAGTGAAACCAAAAAAAGTAATAACCTGAATAAAATACTGACGGTATTTGCCGTATATATGACGATTAATACTAAATCTTGTTTTGTATGTCCGTTCAATGAAAAAATGTTGAATTGGTATCGCATCTATTTAGTACATTTGATTAACGTGATAATACTGCCAATCAGAGAGCAGCGAATTATCGACTGGGATAGTGACACACGGAAACTGTACGAGCAGTCTAGAGTACTTGTGGGTCCTGCTTCTGCCTAGTCCAGCCAGTTAAGCCCAGAACAGCCTCTGTGGTATGAATCCTTATATTTCAAACATATTGAGTTTAAATACCAATCAAACTGACCACATCGTACCATAAAATAGAAGATAACATATGTACAAGATTTAGCCAAATGTGGCTGTGAATAGGGTGAACAGTAATCAATAGACTGGGTGTAATTCATGAATGGTAAATCGTATAACAATAGTTTATGGTTCAAAATAAAGCTCATGTTAAGGGGAACATGAACATGAGTAGTTTAGTTATTTAGCAATCATACGATAAAAAATATATGCATAGTATTGGTTTACAAATGGATCCCAAAGTTACCATTCACTATTCTTATTGGGACACAACACTGTAATTGAACTAAATGTCTTTTTAGCTTCCAGTTCTTTAATAGTTTCAAGACATATATAGTCCAGTATAAAGCTTTAGGATGATATATACTAATTTATATTTACTATGCAAGGTCTGCGAAAGTTAATATATATAAATTATTTCAAGTCATTGTCTATTTTTACATCCAGCTGAAGAGTTCATAATAGGACGAAACGCGCATCTTGGATTCCACCGCGAGCTACCATACATCTCTGTCTGCATTGTCTGTTTTTGTGAAGATTCTTGTTAATTCTAATGAACAATATGTTTAGATAGTTTGTGAACGACCGTTATTATTAACTGGACAGGTATATACGATATTAAACTCGGTCAAAAATATAGCATGTCTTAATAGATCTAGTTCACAAGCATAGGTTACGAGATAACCTAAAAATTCGCTTACTGTAGGTCTAAAACTTCAATAAAAAGGCAGACAAGTAACTTTTTAATTGAATTGTCACTTATGAAGATATCATGATCATTGGGAGATCTGGATTAAATTAGTTTCAGTACTTCTATTACTCAGGTAGATACTGAATGAGATTGTTTGACTGTAATCAGTTTTCTAAAAGAGTATCGTTACTTGATAAACATCATGTTCAAATCTTTGTAAATCACTTTTTTTAATTTTAACCAATAAAGGGAAAAGATTTCAATGTTACAAAATTGTCTTATAATTGAAAATTATCATACATATTTTTGTATTTACTAACGTTTTTTTAGATTTCTTTCGTTTAGTTTATCTAGTAGGGGTGTAACTTATCAATGTTTAGCAATTGAATTGTACAATAAAATGTATCACTGTTTAGTTCATCTTGTTTTACCTATATTTTTCTAATAACCTATTATCTCAAAATCTGTATAAAGAATATTCAAAGAGAAAAAAATCTAATTCTACTTGTTCTGTTTCCTTAATTTGTACGTAGATAAACGATAAGTTATGACAAAATACTGGTACACTAAAATATCACGTTACTTTCTAAGAATATACACCCAAAAAATGTATCTCAGAATGCCAAAAATTCCTTAAATTCTATTTTTTTTAGTAATATGACCTTGCCTGTCAATAATTTGAATGAAAGTAATAAAGAAAAAATACGCCTATATTCACTGTTTAAAACTAAATCGAATAAAAAATAGGTGTAAAATTTAGCGCAAAAATTGAAAAAAAAAGATGCAAAAAACGTTGTAAATAAATAAGATAATTGTAATATTCAAATGAGTAGAAAAATTAGATTTTCTGACGTTTCGTGACTTTGTGCAAGCTACCTCTTCAAGGAATAAATAAAAAAATCTTTGTACTTTATTAAATATCAAACACTGTAAATAATGTAAAAATACTACCAATTGTGAAGTCAATAAAGAATTTACTGAGAATAGTAACCTTACAATATTTCTGAAAGTTATTCATTTCAAGTAAAATTAATTGAAAATATTCACTTGTGAATGATTTACACTTTTTTGGGGGGGGGTGGTTTGCTTATTATGAACGTTAATCATTATCACTTTGATTTTAAGATGACTTTCTTTTGTTTAATGTCAGAAACCCTTTACATAGCATAAATGAAATGGTTAGCATTAAGCAGTTTAAAAATGATGTGACTGAGAAAAAAAGTATGCAATAGGGTTTTCGATAAATTATACATTTTTTAGAAATAAAAATAATATGAAACTTTGAATCAATATGGTGAGTTTCGTGTTTAACAAAATTGCTTACTCACTATGATATTAAATGAATATATTCGGTGATAGTTCAATCCAGACAAGAGTGATCCATTGAGATAAATATTTTTCAAGAGTTTATTGAGG